TATTAAGTTTAATAGTGAATGTTAAATTAATTTTTCTGTGATATCTCTTCATAAAACCAAATTTATAAATTAATATTTGATAATTATTTAATTAATTATTATATTTATTTGTTCTTTTTATCCATTTATAATTAATTAATTAAATTTCATAAATTGCTATTTAATATTTTTGGAAAAAAAAATAAATGATAAAATAGATTAAAAAATATTATAATTTAGAAGAAGTAATTATTAATTTTGTTATTAATATCTTTTAAATTTATATGAATTAATAAAAAAAGTTTAAAAGTTCTTCACTTTTATCTCATTAGGTTCTCCATATTGTTCTCAGGTATATTTAATTAATAAATATTATTTTTATTATTATTAATATTTTTTGTACATTTAATTTTCAATTTAAATAAATAAATAATTTTTAAAAAAGAAATTATCATCATTATTCATTCATTGATTTTTATTAAATCTATAATTTTTTAGGTATTTTAACTTAATTTTCATTTCAATTTTTAATTATTTATTTATTATTCATTTTTTATTACTTGATATTTTTTCTTCATTTTTGCTATTAAAACTTACACTGAATAAAAGCTATTTATTTGTTTTACATTATAATATTTTTAATTATAAAATTTAATTTAAAACATTAAAAGTTCAATTAATTTATTTTATTTCTTTTCCTTTTTCTTTTTATTATGATTTCTTATTTTTTCATTCTTTGTTAATTTTATTAATTATTAATTAATCTTATTATTTCATATTTTTTCTTCATTTTTCCTCCTAATTAACTATAGTGAAATACCTATTTAATTTATATATATACAACATTATAAATAAAGCTAATTTTTAGAAAGAATACAATATCATTTCTTTTGAAAAAAATAATTATAAAAACTTATTAAAAACAATAAAGCTCTTTTTTCTTTTTCTTTTTATTGTGCTTGCTTGCTTTTTTTTGTTCTTTCTTTGTTAATTTAGCTCATCATTTTATTTTCAACTTTTGCTTTTATTATTAATTAATTAATCTAATTATTTCATATTTTTTCTTCATTTTTTCCTTCTAATTAACTATATAATAATATATTTTTTCTTCAATATTTAAAAAGTTTCAATTAAATTGGTGCAAAGGGTGCATCATGCTTAGGTTCTACTTTAGCAAATTGCATTAATCTCTCAAATTTGACACTTGACCTTGAGTAAAAACAGTTTATTTGTTTTGAATTGTGATATTTTTAATTATAAAAACTAATTAAAAACAATAAAGCTCTTTTTTCTTTTTCTTTTTCTTATGGTTGCTTTTTTTTTGTTCTTTCTTTGTTAATTTAGCTCATCATTATTTTCAACTTTTGCTTTTATTATTTATTAATAAATCTTATTATTTCATAAATTTTCTTCATTTTTTCCTTCTAATTAACTATTTAATGATATATTTTTTCTTCAATATTTAAAAAGTAGGAATGAAATTGATGATGAAGGTGCATCAGGCTTAGGTTCTGCTTTAGCAAATTGCATTAATCTCTCAAATTTGACACTTGATCTTAGGTAAAAACAGTTTATTTGTTTTGAATTGTGATATTTTTAATTATAAAAACTAATTAAAAACAATAAAGCTCTTTTTTCTTTTTATTGTGCTTGCTTTTTTTTGTTCTTTCTTTGTTTATTTAGCTCATCATTATTTTCAACTTTTGCTTTTATTATTAATTAATTAATCTTATTATTTCATATTTTTTCTTCATTTTTTCCTTCTAATTAACTATTTAATGATATATTTTTTCTTCAATATTTAAAAAGTAGGAATAAAATTGATGATGAAGGTGCATCAGGCTTAGGTTCTGCTTTAGCAAATTGCATTAATCTCTCAAATTTGACACTTGATCTTAAGTAAAAACAGTTTATTTGTTTTGGATTGTGATATTTTTAATTTAAATAATAATTAAAAACAATAAAGCTCTTTTTTCTTTTTCTTTTTATTGTACTTGCTTTTTTTTGTTCTTTCTTTGTTAATTTAGCTCATCATTTTAATATTTTTTCTTCAATATTTGAAAAGTTACAATTAAATTGGTACAATCGGTGCATCAGACTTAGGTTCTGCTTTAGCAAATTGCATTAATCTCTCAAATTTGAAACTTAACATTAGGTAAAAACAGTTTATTTGTTTTGAATTGTGATATTTTTAATTATAAAAACTAATTAAAAACAATAAAGCTCTTTTTTCTTTTGCTTTTTATTGTGCTTGCTTTTTTTGTTCTTTCTTTGTTAATTTAGCTCATCATTTTATATTCAACTTTTGCTTTTACTATTAATTAATAAATCTTATTATTTCATATTATTTCTTCATTTTTTCTAATTAACTATTTAATGATATATTTTTTCTTCAATATTAAAAAAGTTACAATTAAATTGGTGTAAGGTATGTATTAGGCATAGGTTCTTTAGGAAATTTCATTAATTTCTCAAATTTCAAACTTCTCCATCGGTAAAAACAGTTTATTTTTTTTGAATTGTCATATTTTTAATTATAAAAACTAATTAAAAACAATAAAGCTCTTTTTTCTTTTTCTTTTTCTTTTTATTGTGCTTGCTTTTTTTTTGTTCTTTCTTTGTTAATTTAGCTCATCATTTTATTTTTAACTTTTGCTTTTATTATTAATTAATCACTCTTATTATTTCATATTTTTTCTTCATTTTTTCCTTCTAATTAACTATTTAATGATATTTATTTCTTCAATATTTAAAAAGTTACAATTAAATTGATGCAGGGTATGTATTAGGCTTAGGCTCTGCTTTAGCAAATTGCATTAATCTCTCAAATTTGACATTAGACCTTAGGTAAAAACAGTTTATTTGTTTTGAATTGTTATATTTTTAATTATAAAAACTAATTAAAAACAATAAAGCTCTTATTTCTTTTTATTTTTATTGTGCTTGCTTTTTTTTTGTTCTTTCTTTGTTAATTTAGCTCATCATTTTATTTTCAACTTTTGCTTTTATTATAAATTAATTAATCTTATTACTTCATATTTTTTCTTCATTTTTTCCTTCTAAATAACTATTTAATGATATATTTTTTCTTCAATATTAAAAAAGTAACAATTAAATTGGTGATGAAGATGCATTAGGCTTAGGTTCTGCTTTAGCAAATTGCATTAATCTCTCAAATTTGACACTTTACCTTGGGTAAAAACAGGTTTTGAATTGTGATATTTTCAACAAAAAAAATGAATATAAAACAAAAAAGCTCCTTGAATTTATTTGATAGCTTTTATTTATTTTATTTTTTTATCTTTTTTATTCTGTTAATATTATTTTATTTACTAATTTAAAGAATAATTTTTAATTTAATAGTTTATTCTATTTTGATATTTATTTTAAAATTTACACAAATTTATTTTAAAATTTTTAGCTCAATGAATAAATCATAAGAATTTAAAGTAATAAGCAAGTGTCTTAAATCAAAAAGATTAGTTGTCTT